TTTTAAATTTATTTCGAAACATTCTTTCAAATAATTCTAATTTGATTCACATACGTCTCTAATAAGAGTTTTATAAGAACTTCACAATAGTTTCATAAAATTTTTATTTAAAGTTTTTAATTCAATTTGAATAATTCTATTTTAATTGTCATACGTCTCTAATGAAAATCCTATAGGAATTTAATAATAGTTTCATAAATTCTATTCGAAAGATTTATTCGAATAATTCTAATTTGATTCTCATACGTCTCTAATAAAAATCTTATGAGAATTTCATTAAATGTTTGTAATATTTCAAAAATGTCTGCAATATATCAAAATCACATTTTTTTGATATCTTTTAAATTATTATATCAAACATTAATTTCTAGGTTCTTGTTTTGTTTTTATCAAAAACCAATTATTATTTCTTAAACAATCAAAGCAAATTCACTGTTTTCCCGAAAACGCGGACACATTATCGTATATGCATTAATTTTTTAAAGTATGGCAAAATGATCTGAAGATCTAAATAGAAAAAAAAATTAGTAAAGAAAACGGACAACACGATAACGAGAGTTACCAATATCCATTTTCACTTATAGATCTAAAATTTGTTTAAAACAAAAATGCTTTTCCTGCACATTGCTACATCTAATAAAATAATATATATTCAATATTAGATTAATTTTAAGAATAAAATATGTTTCTTGCTCATTGATATTTGAGTTGATATAACTAGTAGGATGCGTGGCATCGTACCTTAAGGCACATTGCTGGAACTGTCCGTACTGTAATTAAAAATCTTGGTACGGAACCCAAAAAAATTTATACAAAATGTGTACACATTATGAAAATCTCTATAAAATATCTGATAATTTGATGTACATATGTCCAAATGACATTTTTTTAAATCATTTTTATTGAGAGTCCATAACCTCTGGACCTGCCTTCCTAAAAACTTAATCAGTTTTCATCTTGCCAATACAAGTAAAATGTTTTTTGAATCATTAAAATCGGACGCTCCGTTCTCTTAAAAACTGAGTTACCGTTTTTGGCACATTTTGCCCCGTATCTTCGGAACGCCTAGACCTGTCTTCGCCAAAAACAAACCAGCACGTCTCCTTATCACGAATCGAATGTTTTTTGAATTATTCAAATCGGTTGATCGGTGTTCCCGAAATCGTCGACAAAAATTTGTATCCGCACACACATACATACATCAATTTTTTCTAAGGTATGCCAAAATGTTCAGAAACCTTTGAAACGTGAAGATATATAAAAATGTTCATTTTCGATTTTTTTTGCGATTACTATAACTTACCCTACAGGAAGTTAAAAATTCTGTGTAAAACAGAAGTTCAAGCATAACAAATCATAAGACTGAAGTTCTGATTTTTTTTATATACTTTATTTAACAGCAATCAGAATTTACAAAATTCTATGAGCTATTGTGCTTATGTTTAAACTCACTGACACAGTAAACATACTCACACACAGTCATACACACACACATAAATAAATTGGCTGAATTTTAAAAACTTCAATAGCTGCCACTCATCGAGTGGTCAACTAATCTGGCTGAGGTAAAGAAGTTTTGATTACAGTAAAAATGATAATATATAAAATAACAAAAAAGAAAACACGTATTACTATTATTTGTGACTTTGGAATTATTTGTTTAAATTCTTACTTATAAATATATTAATAATTATAAGTTTCCAAAATATAATAGGGCCGTGCTTCGTACATTTCTGTGCTCACTTGGGCAATGAGAGTAGATGAGAGTCGAGTAGAACTCGCTCGTTCTCTCACCGTATTTAGTTTCGCTGCGATGCGATCGCTCCGGGCTATTTTGTAGCTCATTATTTTATGGATTCGAGTCTCGCTCCCGATGCCGCGGGCCTTCGACTGGCGCGATACCCGGGGGCTACGTTCGGCCCGAGGCTACAACGGGCGAGAGCGCCGAGGATGTGGATGTGGATACGCGTAATATGACTATACAGCAGAGAGGCAAAGAGACAGAAATGAGGCGGCCCGTGTGTTTGCTGCGCCTCGGGCAGGAAGAAGCGGGACATTCGGAGCCCACCAGGGAGGAACTAACTCACAGAATTATTGGTACAAAACACACTTATTGGTACAAAACACACATTCACAACTAGTGGGGCGCATGGCATCGTGCATTAAGGCAAATTGCTGGAAATTCCATACCAAAAATTATTTTGTTAAAAACGATTAACATTGTTGAAAAAAAATTTACTTCGAACAAATTAGATTTTTGAAAAACTATAAATTTGACAAAAACTACTTTTTTTTTGAAAAAAAAAAAATGTTTCTTTATTTTGACATATTTTGGGAATTCTGAACATTTTTTCAAAGCAATCGCTTTAACTGCATAGAGACGAAATGTCAAAGCGCGTAAGCGCCGCGTCGCCGTATAGCGGATAAACATTGCTACGGAACCCATAGGAATGTAAACAAAATTGATACTTATTATTATTAAAATCTCTGTAAAATATCTGATAATTTGATGTGCATATGTCTAATGATCATTTTTGACCGCCAAATGGCATTTTTTTTACTTTTTTCACTACATCTCCGAAACCATAGACCTGCCTTCATGAAAATTTCATCAAATTCATCTTGTCAATACAAGTAAAATGTTTTTTGAATTATTAAAATCGGACGCTCCGTTCTCTTAGAAACCGAGTTACCATTTTTGGCACTTTTTGTCCCGTATCTTCGAAATGGCTAGACCTGCCTTTGCCAAAAACTAATCAGCACGTCTCCTTATCAATACGAATCGAATGTTTTTTGAATGATTCAAATCGCTCCATCCGTGTTCCCGAAATCGTCGACAAAAATTTGTATCCGCACACCCACACACACACACACACACACACACATACATCCATTTTTTCTAAGGAATGCCAAAATGTACAGAAGGTTTTGAAACGTAAAGATATAAAAAAATTTTCATTTTCGATTTTTTGCGATTACTATTACTTGCCCTACGGTAGTTAAAAAATATTACTCAGAAGGAAATATAAACTAGTTGTAAGTAGCATGAACATAACTTCCGATTTGTACACATAATCAGCATAATTAGGGGGCGTCCATTAATCACGTAAGGTTTTTAGGAACGGGTTTTTTGACAAAAAAATCACAAAATATCAACTTTTTTTTTTTAAATCAAGAATTTACGTTTTTTTCGTAACTACACTTTTGGGGGAGAAGGGATAATTTTATTCACCATGTATCATAAAGGGGGATCCAAAAATCCTTAAAAAACTCGTCACGTGATTTGGGCGCCCTCTTAATAAGAATAGAATTTCAGTGGTAGTTAAAAATAATGTTCATTTCGAAAATAATAAATTTTCGCTTTTACTAAAAAATAATCAATACGATTTCCAAGCGATGTTTTTCATATAAAAATTATAACATTAGTACAAATTAATTTGTTTAACACATTTCAGTTAATCTATTTCGTGTTATAAAAATGTATTTTATGTGAGTGTGAACATAATTCAACTGTAATCAGTAGAAACCTACGAACACAAAACGTACATAGCTCGGCACAGATTCTGATTGGGATCGACCAAGCGCGCGGCACAAATCTAAACTTTGAATTGAAGAGATTGAATTTTTATAATTCAACCGCTTATCGTAAGCCTTTAATATTTCAGTAAGTCATTTCACACTACAAAATTTATCGTCGCACACAGTTTCATCAAAATCGTATTTCGAAAATAATCAGTGATTCACTTCAAAAAAAAATTACTGTGATCAGTCAGAAAATGTTTACACTGTTTTACTTTTAACATACTTTTTCCAATTTTTGTCCCATTCGATTCAGAATGACTTGAAACGTCAAGAAAATATAAAATCAGCAAAACGGATTTTCTTGCAGAACATATAATTCTCCTTCGGGATGTTAAAAATTGAAACTTTGTAACTTCATTTGAAAATTAATATAATAGAAGTAATAAAAACAGTTTTTTGCAAAATTATTGTACGCTCTGAAGTCTTGAAAAAATTGATAATATTGTATTTTGTCAAATAGAAGAAACTGTGATTTGTTTTTCTGTAATTTCACTTCGTACTCGAAAGCTACAAAATAATTTTTGTCTGAAAAATATTTTATCACATATCTCCGGTCAATAAATTCGCAAAGAAATTATTAACTTATATATAGTTTTATTATAAAATAATGAGATTTATTATAAAACATACTATTGGAGATGTACAGGGATAAATATATCTAACATAAAGCTTATATACTTATTTAACTTAATACTTAAGTAATTTAATTAACACAGTCAATGCAAAAATTTAGTATTATATTCTCATCCTAATTAAAATATTTTTTGCTGATAAAAAATTGCTTATTGCATTACAACGAATTAAAATTCATAATAAGTCATTTTTGCATAGTTTAGAAACAAAATACATTTCAAGTCTTTATTATAAACGTCATACCAATTGATATTAAAATGTTGTTGTAAAAAATTCTCTAATTAGAGAACAAGTCAGTGATGGGCAAATAAGTAACAGATTATAATATTTTATTGCAGCAATCGCAGTTATTAGAGGATAGCTAGGAAAAGTATAGTGAATAATAATAATTCATTTGATTTATGGATCACCAAGTTGATAGTATAAAGTCAAGTCAATACAACACATAGGAGAATTGAAAGCTGTAAACAAATTTAGAGAATAAAGAGATGAATAAAAACTAAATAAATAATATGGCAAATAACCATAGATGATTAAGAAATTCAGGATGCACAATTTAATAATCATTCATCATAAAGTATATTTATGATACCATATTTTCTTCTATAACAACTTCATTTAATTCTACAATTGCATTTTCACTATCATTACATGGTTCATTTTGACGATTTTATTCTTTTCATGCAATTTCATATGCGATCGCAAGCAATGAGCTTGTGCAAAGCCTTTGTTGCATATCGTACATAAATGTGGTCGTTCACCAGTATGCGTTTGTGTGTGAACTTTTAATGCATATGGTCTTGCAAATGCTTTTTGACATATTTGACAAACATAAGGCTTTTCTCCTGTATGGACCTTTTATGAACTTTCAATCTACAACTGTTCCTGAATTTCTTATCACAAAAGGGGCACTCAAAAGGCTTCTCACCTGAGTGTGTACGTTTATGTAATGTAAAGATGCTGCTATATCTATATTTTGCACCACATATATTACAAATATATGGATAAGAATTTGAATGTAGTCTCATATGGATTTCCAGATCGCAATTTTGTTTGAATGTTTTACCACATTCAGTACATAAGAATGGTCGTTCTCCAGTATGAGAATATTTATGAGACTCATAGCTGCGATATTGTGAAAAATCTCTACCACAAATATCACAATGGTATTGTTTACCTGTTCTATGGTAATTCATGTGACGATTGTAATGTGTTTCTGATACACATTTCTGTAACAGAAAAAAATCTATGAATATTAAAATAATGATGTGAAATCTAAAGGGCACCCATTAGTTATGTGGCAATTTTTATGTTAGCTAATGCATTTGAAATACAAATTTAGTTATCGTTACGGTGAAATGTAAAAAAATCGTTGCTTTTTTTTTGTTAATTTTGCTGTTTTATATCAATGCATCGAAAACAAACATAATCAACTTTAGAATGTTGTTGACAAACGGGATTGTGGCATTTTACGCAGAAAAATCGAGTTTTGCGTTTAGTCTTTTCGTTTTCGGCATGTAAACAGATTTCACAAAGCTTTTTCTTTTCAAGTGTTGTCGGGCCGCTTCCGTTAGCAACATATGCTTCATGAATCTGAAATAATATAATGAAGATAAATGAAAAAAGCGGCGCCTTCAAATTTAATATGAAATTCAAATGAAAACGAAATGAGGTGCATCGCCTTTGAAATGAGATGTAAAACTCAAAGTGAAAATATAATTTCAATTGAACTGCGTACTAATGGCTACAGGTTTGCCACAAAAAAGGTTTTGAACTCAGTATGGGTAGAAAAATTGTTGATTATGTGCGCATTATTCATCTGATTCATTGTTTGCGATAACCAATAAGTTTGATAGATTTTCAAGGCATTTTCATATGTGTGCGTGTAAATACTAACATTCATGTTACAATACACCTAGCAAATAATACATAAAACGCAGTTTGAATAGAAAATACCAGAAAAAAAGACAAAAGACTGATCAAAACTCATCATATTTCATGCAAAATGTATGGGTGGTCTAGACAGACCACTCCGACCATTTTAAGTATAAAAAAATTAATATCCTTATAATTATCTGACAGCTAATGAAATTTTAGGAAATGTCAAGAAATTTCAAGTCGATAGGATTACTAGAAAATATATTTTTTTAAATTGAAGTCGGAAAAAGTCTGGCCAGACCACTCCAACCGACAGAGGGTTAAATTCCAACATATGATTTTTAAAAATAATTAAGATTTATTAAAATCATAGCTGTAAAAGCAGAAGAAAACTTACTTTATTGCATATAGAACAAATTAGCTTTGCTTCATCAAGTGTTGCACTTCCACTATGATTTCGTATAACATGTAGATCCAATGATGTCTTTAATTTAAATTGCCTTTTACATTGTGTACAATTATGCTTTTTTGCTCCTTCATTTACATTGATCAACTTATTATTTTTAACAGCCTTTGATTTTTTTTCTGATATTGGTTCATCTTTAGGATCATTAGATTCTATTTTGTGATCTTCTAATTTTTCAAATTGATCACTAATTGGATCTTCCAAAATTGCCACTACATTATTTGTTAATAATTCATCATCACTGATTTCAACATATTCATCTGTAGCTTCAAAACCATTCTCATCAAAATCAATTTTATCATTTTCATAATCAACCTAAGAATATATTTCAATTAAATCTTTGCGCAAAATAGACAAACATGGAAAAACAATAAGAGCTGTATCTATATCGATACATTTAGATAGTAGATACAAATGGCATAATTTAGAGTAAAGAATTGTAATTTAAAGTAAAATAATAAATATTTTACTAATTATTGATCTGATTTAGATTAATGTAAGTTTTAAGAGAAATGTTTTACTATTGCAAATTGTCCTGCCTAGTAACATGCAGTAGAAATATATAGGTCTTTTAACATTTAATACCTCGGACTGTGTAGTTTCAATTTGCTCAAACTGTTGTTTCAATAGTCTTTCATTTTTCTCGCACATTATACGGAAAGAATAAGCGCTCTCTATTATATTGATACAAGATTTACAAATATGTTGAGGAAATCCATCATCACGATTAATCTACAAATAAATTTATGCAGATTTAGATAAATATAAAGTGAGAGATATATTGTATAAGTGAACAAAAATGAGATATATACTTCTAAATCAGCACAAGTGAGCAAAAGATCCCTGAGGCTTAAAATTTTTTACATATCATGCCTCGTGTGAATAATGATTTCATGTCGAACCCATCCTTCAGACAACTCCTGCATGTTTCGTTTGTCATTTTTATTTAATTTTTAAGAATTAGTTAAACATGAGGCAAACAACCATTACTTGACAGCAGAATATTTTGATTGGGATGATTGGTTTTATTTTGTGCTGTTTTTTAAGTTGCGAACTTGTGAAAGAGATTGTCAACCATAGATGAAAGATGTAAAAGATTGGATGTTCAATTCGATTTAACAAGGCGAGGATGATCTATATTATGATTGTTAGTACTCTATGGCATCAGGACATTTGACGTTTTGTTTATATGTTTAATTTTTTAAAGAAATGCTTTATTTTATTTATTATGTATGAAATCCTTCTCAAAATACAATTTTTATACATTAAATTAATATATTTTACCTATATGCGGTACACAATTATATAAAATAAGTTTAGAAATATGTTTTATGTAGATAAACATATTGTTTATTTGAAAGGTTTTGCTTTTGTAAACAAATAAATATGAAACCAAGGCAAGGCTTATTTTATCATTTACGGAAACTTTAATTAATTTTTGATTATAAAATTATTAATAATGTAAAAAATATCATTTATAATAATGTCTTGTACATTACAGGTTGTGTGGATCTCAAGACACTTGATTGTGTTAAAGCTAAAAGCAAAATGAAACCGACAACGTGCAAAGAATTACTATTTTATCTATTAATTATCATAAACATTTTTTACACAATAAGTTCTGAATGTCCACAACAATGTATATGTGATAAAAAAATCAAACAAACCATCACAGATGGAATACAATCTGAAAAATATTACATGAAAGTTAAATGCAATTTATTAAGTGAAGATGTTGATAATTTACAAAAAATTAACTTTGGCGATTCTGCTTTAGATATAATTCATTTGTAAGTTTGTAACTCATATTATGTATTCAGTATTTTGTTTATATCATTTTCTTTTTTTCAGAGATTTAAGTGAAAATCAACTGACCAAGTTAGATAATTTTTCATTCTCAAATTTAACCAATTTAAAAAGATTGGATTTATCAGCAAATCTTGTACAAAACTTAGATAAAAAGTATTTTCAAAGTATGAAGAATTTAGAAAAATTAATTCTTAGGCAAAATCAAATAAAATCTATACCACAAGGAACATTTCAAAACTTGCTGTCGTTAAAACAACTGTAAGTTAAAATAATTTTACTATAAGAAATGGTTTGGCAAATGTAATTAATTTTATTATTTGCAGAGATTTATCAGCAAATCCTTTGAAATGTGATTGTGATCTAATTTGGATATTAGACTGGGCACAAAGGAATTCTGTGAAATTATCACCAGGGCCAAAATGTCAAAGTCCTTCAGATTTCAAAAATAGTTCTTTAAAGAAATTAAAAGTCGGTATAGATATGCATTGCGAGACGCCTATCACTCAGCAAAATCATGTTCAATTGAACCCAAGATACAATCAGGTATTAATTTATTTTAACGATCAATTTAGTTCCTTCTTAAATGCGTATATTATTGTTTCAGGTTGTTTTTGAAGGTGATTCTTTGCAAATACATTGTTTAATAAGCAGTAAATACAATACTGATGAAAATTTAGATCAAAACACAATATCTCCTTGGAGTTGGACACCGCATAATTCAAAACAATTCTCAATAGGTATTATTAATATACCTATAAATCTCCATTATTAGATTGAAACCTAATAATTCAAATTATTATTTGTTTTAGACATTAAATATAACGATCTTGCGAGTATGTTTCCAGATATAAACATAATTAATAGATTTGTATCCGATGGTGGAATCATTGATTCACGTCTAGATATTGAAAACATTCGTCACAATCAATCTGGACAATTTTCTTGCAAAATGGTATCACCCAAAATGAATGTCTCCAAAAGTCTTGATGTAGTTGTTATTTCGAATGAAACAAAATATTGTCAAACAAACACCACAAAAGGTCAGTACATACTTCTATTTCTTACCATATCACAATTGACTTTCAAAATATGTATCTGTACAGATAATAAAGGCATATATACTTGGCCTGCTACGGTTGTTGGTAACAACGTAGTTTTAAGATGCCAAGGACAAAGTAGCGGTCAAGCATTTGCAACTCATTATTGTTCTGTTAATGGGAATTGGTCTGGTTTGAACACGAGAGGTTGTCCATATGTGAACGAGATAACAAAGGTATTTGAATATTTTTGATCAGTTATTGTATTTTAATTTACGTTGTTTTAGCAACAGCAAATTTGAAATGTTTCTTATGGTATAGATTTTTATCTGATTTGCCTCAGAATAAATTTTTCCAAACTCTGCATATATTGCTAATACTTCTTATATCATTTGTACAAGATTTGCTGATAAATCCCATTTTTTAATTGGTTAAATTTGAGAATATAAAATTATCTAACTTGGTCAGTTGATTTTCACTTAAATCTCTGATAAATAGAAAATAATATAAAAAAATTACTAATACTAATATATAATATGAGTTACAAACTTACAAATGTATTATATCTATAGCAAAATTTCAAAAATTATTTTTTGTAAATATCAACATCTTTACTTTATACATATTGCATTTAATTTTTATGTAATATTTTTCTGATCGTATTCTGTCTGATTTTTTGACTGATTGCATAACAATTATATATGATAATTACTATATCACATTATAACAATATACCATATTTCAGATACTAGAACAATTCGCAAAGGTCAACTTAAGTCTGACAAGAAATACTATAGTAGAAAGTTCACGAGTCTTAAGGAATTTAACTTTGGTATCTGCAGCTAATATAACAAAATATAATGATCCGATGATGTAGTTTTTATTGTGCATACCTTTCATAATTATATTGAATATTTGTCCCAAGAAAAGGAATTAGGTATGCTATAAAATGCTAATAAATGGACAATAATATAATAATGATTTATGTAATGTTTATTGCAGGACCTATACTAATAGATATAGCCAGTGAGCTTATGAAATTCCCAAAACATATTTTAAATGCAGCTCAAAGACTTAATAATTCTTGTACTGAACTTGTAAGAGATTTAGAACT